GAAGAGGCAATACTTTGGAAATACCATTAGAGCAAATAATCTATAGGAAAGGGCATGTCATGTTTGGTAAAGTAGAGTGCCAATGAGATGGACTGACATAATAGCTGTAACAATACACTAAAATATACCAATGATCATGAAGGTGGCAAAGGACCAGTGAACATTTTGTTCTATGATTCATAAGGTGCCATGAGTAGGTGCCAACTGAACAACTGAAACAAAGGGTGGACAAAGAATCTTACATATAAAACATCAACAAGCACATAGAGAAGTTAAGATAGAATAGAAAAGGAAAATAGCTCATCAGTGCATGGTCGATTAATTTTTCAAAAGCACTATACCTTTAATAAGTGGTGCTGAGACAACTAAATTTCCACATGCAAAAGGATGAAGCTAGACCTATCCCTCACACCATAAATAAAAACAAAAATGAACCCTAAATGGATTAAGGGCCTAAAGGGAAGAATTGAAAACTTAAAATACCTAGAATAAAACATAGGAGAAATGCTTCAGGCTCTAGTTTTTTACAGTGGATTCATATCGATGACAAAATAGACAAAAAGAACTTCAACAAAATAAAAAAGTTTTTTAGCATCAAGGTACTTTATCAATAAAGTGAAGAGACAACCTACAGATAGATTGGAAGAAAATATTTTGGAACCATATGTTAGATAAGGGTCTAATTTTCATAATACATGAAGAACATCTACAACTTTACAACAAAAAGACACACAACCCTATCCAAAAATGGGCCAGTGACTTGAATAGACATTTCACCAGAGAAGATATACAACTGAATAATAAATATATGAAAAAATGCCCAACATCATTAGCCTTTGCTGTTAGTAGCTGTCACTGAGTCACCCCAATTCATGGTGACTCCATGAATAATGGGATCAGATAATTGTGACTCAAAGGGTTTTTACTGGCTGATTCTTGGAAGTATTCCAGCAGGCCTTTCTTCCTACTCTGTTTTAGTTTGGAAGCTCTGTCAAACCTGTTTAGCACCAAGCAGTAAGTATGTGAATCTACGATGACAAAGTGGTGGCTTTCTTTGAGATACATTTTCTGGGGATAGAAACATGTTTCTCACATTGATGGCAAAAATTCTATCAAGAACCACTACTGCCCTCCATTCATCATCATCGTTGTTGTCAGCTGCACACCGATAGGTTCCAATTCCTAACGACTCTATTCACAACAGAACGAAACTCTGCCTGGTCCTGTGCTATCTTCAGATTCATGGCTATGTTGAAACCCATTGTTGCAGCAACTGTGTCAATTCATCTCTTTAAACGTCTTCTTTTGGTTCACTAACCCGCTACTTTACCATGCATGACTGTCTTTCTCCAGGAACTGTTCCCTCCTGATAGCATGTCCAAAGTGCACGAGATGAAGTCTTTGCAATCCTTGCTTCTAAGAAGCATTCTAGCTGCACTTCTTCCAAGACAGATTTGTTTGTTCTTCTTGCAATCCATGGTACATTCAATATTCTTCACCAAAAATATCATTCAAAGTCATCAATTCTTCTTCTGTATTTATTGATTTATTATTGTCATTATTCATTTATTCTTTGTCCAGTTTTAGCATGCATATAAAATGACTGAAAAGGCCATGACTTGGATCAGGTTTACCTTAGTTCACAAAGTGACATTTTTGCTTTTTTTAATACTTTAAAGATTTGTTGCAGGTGCTTGGCTGAGGAGCCAATGGAGCAAAGCTAGCATTTGTGGGATTATGACAGAATGCCTCTAAATCACCTGCCCAGGAGGAACAGTATGGAGGAACAATATGGCAGCTCTGAGGAGCTGGTTCCCTCCTGTCCCCATCAGTAGGCTTGTTGCACATGTGTTCCTGTGTGCATGCACGTTTGTGTGGTGACAATCTGCCATGCGCAGTCTGTTAGGCTGGGTTGACTACAGAACCAAATCCAGTGACACTCATACATGTAAGAAAGAGCTTTATATCAAGAAGTAATCATATATCAAGAAAATATTCTAATTCAGTCCAACTTAAGTCCACAAATCCCTCTTCAGACAAACACCGCCACATGCATTGATGCAAAATGTAGGACTATCACACGCTGGAGGGTACAAATCATGAAAATCCAGGGGCAGTGGGCGCATCACAGGGCTTTGGCAGGCCCCAGAGTGGCCCACCAGCAGGAAGGTGAAGGCAGAGAGAGAAGGGGAGGTTCACGGGCCTTCCTTACGAGAAGGCCATGTGCAGACGGAGGCATCATCAGGCTGTGATCTGATTGACAGGCTGAAGACCACCCTACACTTTGATATATCTTCCAGTTGACATGAAAATATGTAATTGCCACACACAAG